ACAATGGGGATGATCAGGACTTCAATGTTTATCAGGAAGCCGGTCTATTTTCCATACCACAGAAGGTACTCTCATATTTTGCTGACCCCACAGCAGCCTGTATGACAGGTTCAGATTCAGGTTCATGTAAACTCCCCAGAAATGCCCGCCAGTTTTTTTGGGCTTTCAGGGACTTCTTCCTCTGTAGGTTCATGGTTCAGAGAGCCTTGATCCACTGCGATGGGACAGAAAGTGTACCATTATGTTGTCACACGACCTCAGGGAACTGGCATGAGATGATCTCTGAAGCAATGAGGCCAGGTTGACAAAGGTCTGAAGCTCCACATATGCCCCCTGGACAACCACTACAGACCTCAGGGAAAAGCGAAGGTCTTCCCCATTATATGAGGTCTTGAAATGCATCAGCTTAAACCAGCAGGAATCCAGAGGTACAAACTTAATGATTCTTGATTACTCAGATTCTTGTGCTTTCACACACTTATGAAAAGTATATTCAAGAATATCAATCCCCTTCTTTTCTAGGTCAGCTTCAAAACAGTGTTCATTTCACTTTTGCAGCTCAAGATCATTCAGTGTTAAAAATCACTTCCTGTTTCCATTCATAAAGCAGAGGCAAGAAATCGGAGTTATCACAGCACTTTCAACCAATTTTCCTTCTTCTTTAGTGATTTTACCTACAAAGTTGTCCACAATTTCAAGGGAAATTTCTTGCTCCTCATAGTTCATTCTTGGTTGTGAAATAGCTGGCAGCTTCATCAGCAGCTCCTCCACAGTAGTCAGAAAGTCGAGGAAGTCATGGTACTTTGTGGACCCCAACTTTAGCATCTGTTCTATGTCTGGCTTGTGAACTAATTCTGTCCTAGAATAGTATTTTTTTTCTGTGTAAAATGCATGTTTAATCTTCACAGAATGGATTTTCCCAGCCACACTGTAAATGGGTTTTCTAACCTCCTCTCATAATATATTTGCAAAATTCCTCCAGGTAAGACTTCTTTAAAAATTAGTACCTACTGAGGGGAAAACATCATGTTGTTCTTCTCAGAAATTCTCATATGAAAGACCATGCAGGTTTGGCCTGACCTCTGAAAAGCATGTGGGGGACAAAAGAAGAGGCTGTGTCTTCAGCATACAGACACTGGGTAGACAAATTTCCAAATGAGTCTTGGTTCTCAGCTGATTGGTGATGTTCAAGCTTCTTACAGATATAGCTGAGTGAACACTGATTTAAGCTTTTTGGGTAAATTGGCATGTCTTTGTCTCTTGATGGGAACGTTTTCTGCTTCCTGGAAGGTCAAATGTGAATTGGGAAGCATTGCCTCCTTCTTTCCAAAATGGTCTTGAACAGGCACAGTCCTGCCAAAAATACTGAAACTGGAGAGCATCACTTTGGAACCCTAGGCTTTCGGCCTGTGGAGGACTAACTTCATCTGGAAGACCCGCTTGGGGAGCTGTAGGTGTACATGAGTGGTCATTGGATAAGGAAGCATGGGATAAACAGGTTGGTTTAGTAGGCAATAAAGAAAAATCTACTCCAGGTGTTGTGGGTGGACTGTTTGAAAATAATTCTGGAATAGGATAAAGCACATAAGTCCTTGCTTTGCGGATGCCAGGAATTCCTGGGATGTCTTTGATAGGTGTAGAAAGAGGAGAGTTACTTGGAGGTCCTGGACGGGAGTAGAAGTCTGTGATGAGAGATGGGAGAGGGGTACTACAGGTGGAGGAAGACCCACTGGGCAATCCCTTAGGACCAGAAAGGTTCAGCTTAAGTCTGCTTGGCCTACAAATGCCTTGATCCTCTGGACTGAGATTATTTGACTTCTGATAAGATTGAAATGTGTTGCCTGGGTTCGTAGAACACATCTTTGAAATCAGATTGTGATCTTGTCAATGAGTCAGATGTGTTGAACCATACCATTTATTGGTCACATATTAATTACTGTATGGTTTTTCTCTTAGAAAAGTAAGCCATTCTTTCTTCTGAACACTTGGAATCTCAGCTGAATAAAGTGGTTTAAACTCTCTAGTACAGAGGTGTTAACATTCTCACAGAGGCAAATACTATAACCCCCAATGTCACAGAGAAGGAGACTTCAGAAAAGTTTCTTTTATACTTCTAGCTTATAAATAACCTTAACCTAGTTTCTAAAATTCAAGCTACCTATCACCTTCTCCAACATTTGAGGGATGCATGTAATTCTTGCAATTGAAAGCAGTCATGTATGCATCATCCCTTTGACTTTACAACAAAAACTTATTTAGCACACATTCCATGCCTAAACATATTTTGAGGGGATGAGCAGAAAAATGACAAGCTGTCCTCAGATGAACTTTACTATCTAATTGGAAATAAATAATAGATCCTAATTAGTTGTAATTGGGCAAAGACTCAGTTATTAGCTGGACTCATGAGTTCCTACTTTAATAGGAGGTCTATGAATCTATCCAGTATCTGGGTATCAATGACAAGTTAGATCCTGAGTCAGTATTTCTTAAATGTTTGAATATTCCTGTTTCTCCGCTATATAGGGACCCGAGTAAATGGCCAGTGGTCCCTCAGAGGGAAGGCAGGAGGAATCATTTTCATTTCTTCTCCTGGAGTCCCAGGGTCCTTCTTCCTGAGGACCCAGCATCTCTTTCTTAAGGAACACCTTCCTCCAGGTGAGAGGTTTGAGGTATGAAATTGGCTCAGATCAAGGAACTGTAACAATTTATTGAGGCTATAAATCAATAGCCTCCTCATAAACCACCCTTGACTTCATTGATTATTTCCTCCCTATCCCTCTTGACCATGTTCTACTCATCATCTTTTGAATTTTCCATGATAAGGCCTAGCAGGCTGTCACTCCAACCTCAGTGCTCAACTATCACTGCATCAGCTGGGCTTCTGATATTTAAGTGTCAATACCTGGCCATCATGCATCAGGATCTCTCATCTCCAATACTAGCAGGAGTTCAGTTCTGCAATGGTAGCACATTGGACCACCTGCACTGGCATACAATAGAGAGGCCACCATTGAATTTAATTTTATTTTTTATGGTTGACTCTATTACAGATGTCCCTATTTTATCCCCCTTTACCCACCTGCATCTAGCCCCCCAGCCCACGTCCCTAAGGCCATTATCACATTGCTGTCTGTGTCTATGCATATATGTTCTTTGGCTAATCCCTTCACCTTCTTTCATCCAGTCCCATCCTCCTCCCTGCCCTCTGACAACTGTCAGTCTGTTCCATGTATCCATGCTTTTGTTTCTATTTCATTGATCAGTTTATTTTGTTCATTAGATTCCACATATAAGTGAGATCATATCTGAAGATAAAAGGATCCTTCTCACCACCAGTACATGCTCTTATTTTTTGGTAATTCTGGTTCTAACATTTTTTTTTCTAATCTAGTGAGGATTTCATGTTTGGTGTCATCAGTAATTGGCAATGTTTATTTATTTATTGTAGAGAGAAAGAGAGACCTATTTGTTGTTCCATTTGTTGTTTATGCATTCACTGATTGCTTCCTGTATGTGCCTACCGGGATCTAACCGCGATCTTGGCATATGGGGACAGTGCTTCAACCAAATGAGCTACCTGGCATGGCAGATTTTAATATCTTAAAGCTGTGATTCAGAAATCGAAATTAGAGGACATTCTCACTGAGATTTGAAAGAATCACTAAAAACTTTAAACATTAGTTTTGTACATATAGGGATTAAAAAACAAAAGCCAACATGAAAACATTAGGATGGAAATTTTGTGCTTTCCAGTGCTGTGACCCACAGGATTGTGACATGTGATTCCCACCCATGTTAGTAGTTTTCAGTAATTTCCTTATAAATTACATTATACACACTATTTTGCACCTAATTGTTTCACCTTAAAACATAATTTAAAGGTTTTATATTAGCACTAGAGGCCCAGTGCACGAAATTTGTGCATGGGGGATGGGGAGGAAAGAGATTCCCTCA